CAAGTGTCTACTAAGTATACAATAAAAACATCGTCTATAATTATCATAAGGGTTTATATAGATTTTTTCTAATTTCACGGTTAACATCACTAGTTGTTTTTTTATTGTTAAACAATCACTGGGCAGAAAGGGGGTTTTGTGGAGATTTTAGTAATTTTATAGTTGAAATCATGAATCAATTAAAGCTAGACCACCATGGAAAATCTGGAAGCACTGAACGGCCGTCTCCTTCTACTGTGGGACTCCTCAGCAGTCCACGGTCCCGCCTCACAAAATTCGAACCCAGGAGCAACCGGTCTCGTGCGCGAACGTTCAACATCTAGACCAGAGTCGGCATTTAACGGTGTTAATATCTGACTTCAACCAATCCACAAAATTGTGCCATCGTTCATCATTGTCGTCAGTGAGTTACTATCTCACAAGAGACCCTATTGAACTCCATTGATCACTGCTTCTCACTAGAACTACAGGAAATACCTCTTAGAACCAGTCACTAGTGAGCACATGATTATTATTATAAGGGAGTTTTGTGGAGATTTTAGTAATTTTATAGTTGGATGAAACAGTCATCCGGTGCTTCCAGATTTTCCATGGTAGTCTATCTTCCACTGACTCATGATTTCAACTATAAAATCACTGAACACTATTTTTTATCCCAATGTGAAATTCTTTATCATTGTGCATCTATAACCCCTATAACAGATGATCAACAATCTCATGCACAAAAGCTTAACCCCTAGACCATTCATTCAACACCCAGTAATACTTCATATAATAGTTCCAAATTCATACTATCATACATTTTACCTCATTATGTTAGAAATATATTTAAATTATATCTTACGGTATAAGATTAAATTAATCAACATTACGTCTATGCAAATAATAATGATAATAATTAAACATGATTTATCATATGGTAATTCATTTTTCATTTGGAAGAAAATCCTCCCCCCCTCGAAAAATTTTTTTATTACATAATAATTAGGTTTTATTCGTTTATTCGAGATCCTTATTACAATGTGATGAGAAAATAATAAAGAAGCATCATGTATAATCCGTCAAAGTATGATAGTTTCAATGCTTGAACAGAATATAGTGATATACTGAGATAATGTTTAGTGAGATACTGTTTAATCATGAGTTTTATTATTTAATATAAGAAATATTCTGTTATATAAAATAGAATGAATAGTTTTAAATATAAATAGAATAATGACGAAAAGAAAGTAAAATGAGATTTTAACTGTAGCTGAGTGGATAATGCGATGGCGTTTGAAACGAAAGGTACTGGGTTCGAGTACCAGAGTGAACATCAACTCTGAGATGCAGGTACATCACGCTGATGAGTCCCAAATAGGATGAAACGCACATCATGGATTTCACTGCTAGTCACTATACATTTTTGCTTATAATGCTTGTGAAATAAGGCTATATCGAGGCAATATGCACAGTATGCACATATGCCAATTAGAGACTGACCAGTTGCTGTACTAAACATCAATGGGAAGTATAAAAAAAAACAATACCAAGTGAATTTACAATAAATTTTAGTTTAGAGATGATGATTAGATAGAATAAGTAAATCATAGTATAATAGATACTGCATTCGTCAAATGTTAGTCTCTGTTGAAATATTATTGGGAACTAGGAAGCATTTGAAAATGAATTAGTTTGAGTATATGAATGATTAACAGTGTTTGTCAAAGATCTCCCCTAAAAAGTATTACTTACAACCATGAGAAATCGCTTGAATTTTCAACCATCAGATTACTATGTTACCATTCAATTGTTTACATGTATAAAAATAGTGAATTTGTGATAACATGCTACTGACATTCACTGTTATTGTGACTAACAGTCTTATATTGAACTCTACTGAACACCGGTTGTTACTAGGTCTTCATGAATCGCCTCACGGAAAAAGTTAATAGAGAGTACATAATTATTACGGGTAAATAGGGTTTATGGAGAAGATTATATTTCGTAGTTTCATGAATATAACATTGTATGTAACATTTACAGAGTTATTAAGTTTATCAGTAAATAAATATTCAGTAGGTTACTATTTTGTTCATTTCACGAATAATCAGCCTTATAACTTCATATATATACTTGTGGTATAGTTAAATTTACTTCTATAGAGATTTCTCAATTTCAAAGTTGAAGTCACGGAATGATCTTAGCAGAATATCACTGAAAAACGAGAATAAGTAGAGAACTGTTTCCTTCTAGTATGGGACTGGTTAGCAGCACGCACCTATTAGATGCAAGCTCAGTGATCTAGAGTTTAAGCATTTGTACGAGACTGAATTTCATGTGTTTGCCCTAAGGTAGTAGATTCATGGATATGCACTACTAAGGATTTGTGTACTATTCATTGTTTTTGAGTAATACTTGTTTTAGATAATTCTGTAGTGTTAAGTATTAAGTTATAATGATATTTGAAGAGAGTATGAAAAAGTACAAACGCATGAATAGCTGAAATGGTAAAAATGTCAAATATTTTATTGGATTAATGGTAAGAATAATAAGGTTTACTATAAATTGGAAACGGTAGTTTGGCTAAAATAAACACTAAAAGCTTTATTGTCATTAAATCAATTATTGTAGACAGAATGAATAACCTTTAAAGACTGGAAAGCCATTTCATTGTAGTATTGGACTCCTCCAATGCTTCCAGGTTTCCAGTAGTTGCCCAAATGAAAATAGTTAGTGATTTCAATGAAATTCAACAATTTTCACTACCTCATAAAGAGGATGGATGATTTTTGCAAAGGTTATTTTTCGTAAAAAGCTCTTTAAGCATTTGTAGGATCATTCAAAATAGGAGTAAAAATGACAAATAACTTCTGCTACTGTCTACTAATTACTCTAGAAGCTGTATTGGGACCTATTATACTCATGAATTATCTCTCTATAGCGCTACTTCAGTTTTTGAGGATATTTACTGATATCATTTTTTATATGGATGTAAAAACTCTTCTAGATCAAACTTTATTATTTTGAATTACTTGTAATTATAGTCATAAGTAAATAGGTAGAGACATTAAGAGTTATTTTTAGAAGGTTTTAGTACTTCATCAGATTTATTGAGTAAAATTTTATGTCACATGAATGCATCACGGTGCAATATTAAGTCTTAGTTGACAATTACTCTACAAGATTAAAATTTTCCCTTAAGAAAGAAGCCATACAATCACATTGTTTTTAGAATCAACGGCTGATTGTGAAATCTCATTTGTTGAATGAAAGTACTTGTTATAAAAACGTAATAGAACAAAGTTCTCTGAATAATTTCCACTTTCTTTACTTTCCAATATGGTCTAGCTACTTTTGATAAATACGTTATGACAAAAATAGAAAAAAAATTATTGAAATACACCGACACGTCCTGAACGATTTGTGGAACTAGAACAAGAAACGTACCGACTTTCGTTCCCTCTGATCCTTACGTATATAAGCCGTTCATTCTCATTTATAATTTTTGCTTTCATGTGACATAACTTTGGTTGAAACTAGTTGTGAACAGATCATTATCACTATTTCTCATAGTTAATATATATCTTAGAGCCTCATGTAACATTTATTTAAAACTTGTTGATACTCAGTACCTAAATGGATAACATGGTTGAGTTTGAAGTGAACGGTACTGAGTTCATGTCCTAGAGTGAACATCAGCTCCGAGATGTAGGTACATTCAGCTGATGAGACACAAATAGGACAGAACTCACGTCTTGGATTCTACTACTAACCACTAATACTTCAAGATAACATGATAGTTAAAAAGAATCTAACAGGATAACTAGAGACGGTCAAATTAGAATCTAGTAAGCGGTGGGTATTAATTTACTTTAAAGAAAAATCGAAAAAAACTTTCAAATTTACTTTATCTCTTTCCTTTATCTGTATAATTTTTAGTATGTATCCTTATCCAATTAAATTATAACTAATTACTGTAAAAAATAATCATTGACAGTATATTGCTACAGTTACCAACAAAGATTTCTAATATATATATAGTCACATGTATTTACTCATTTACTCTATACTCTTATTACTCAAATAATATGTCGTTAATGTAATATACTAAAGTTAATACCATTACAGATTGTATGCAAACTATCTCCCTATAATGATCACATATCTATATGTATATTCTTTGCAATTATATAAATCAGTAGAAACTCAGTAGGAATAAGTATTTTGAAGATAGTAATCATAATCACCATTATTAGTAGTAGTACCAGTAGTAGTATTAATAGTAGTACTACTACAATTTTTACAATCATTTAACTCATTATGACCTGTATTTGTCATAAGTATTTATAAAGATAAACTGTCAAATATAAATGTATGTTTTACACAGTATGTGATTAGTAATCTTCTTTTTCTTTTCTTCTTTTTCTTCTTTTCTATCATAGTTACAAATCTCTTTCTTTCTATTATTCTTTCTTTCTTTTTGTTCTTTTTTTTGTTCTTGTTCATTTTTATAAATGATCTAATCATTACCACGATGAATAGATATACAAAACATTGAAAAAAATTTTTTTTATTTTAATTTTTACATTTTTGATCATAGCAACTAATATTAACCAATAGAAATGAAGTTATGCCTTTTCTTTTAATCACGTGAACCCAATTGTATAATAAAGAAAAACCTATCAAATTTACTACTATCAAATTTATAATAGTAATAATAGTAATATTAATTAACCTTGTGTTTTAGTAAATTGAACTATTTAAATGGAAATTTTGATTTTAAAAAATGGACTCACCTATTTTTTGCCAGGAAAAAAAATTCATTGAATAGTAATTATTAGTGAAGTACTACAGTATTGTTTATCTAATATTATACCTTTTATATGATATTAATTAAAAGGATTCATAGAGAAATCCCATAGTAACTATGATCTTTTATTGATTTCTTTTTGTTTCCTTTTTTTTGTTTTTTTTTCTTAAAGATATCTTCATAATAATAACAATAATACTAATTTAGGATGATTAATGAACGTTTTAATGATCAAGCTATACGGGAACATAATCGGTAAGTGAATAGTTAATTTGATGTTATATTATAAATATACATGAATATGTTGATGACTGTCTACATCAAAGTTATCAGGATTATTATTAATGGCTGATTCAATGTTATATTATTGGTACATTATAGAATTCTTAGCATAATGTAGTTCAGTAAGCTTCGTTTTGTAAATGATTGATCAAACCCGACGATAAATATTAGATGACCACCAGGTAGATGTTAGCAGTTCATGAGTTGACAGCTGAATAATGTTGATTTTTGTTAATGTATATTGCCAGCAACCATAATGTCTGTAAATGTACATTTCTGTAAGTTGTACAGTGAAAGGTTGTAAACGTCTTACAAACACGCCTGAATAGGTTAAATGATTATTAGACATCGTAATATGTTAGAACAAACAAACAAGAAAACAGATAACTTGTTGAAGCATCTAAATGATAGGAACAGATAGTCCATATATTCAAACAGGCCGCCCATGAATGTTTCATTGTGAAGATTCTGACTTCTATTCAAAATTCATACTAATCATAATAATATTGTCCAGAACAATAATGGGGACTTTACAATTAAAAACATTCAACTTATAGAATTAAACTCATTTAGGTTTATTCACCGGAGTTACAAATCTTCTCCATTCTATTAATAGTTGGTACTTTTTCTCGGACAGATAACGATAAATTTAGTTTAGAATGTTGCGTTTAATCAGAATGCCATTAACCGTCATTCCCTAAGCAACAGTTTTCGTTTATAGCTTCTAATAAGACTTAACAGTATATTAGCTTATAACTATTATTGTGATAGAATACTAAAGGACTGGTTAGTGTTTCATAAAGATAACATGAATGTATAGTTATAATTCAATGGAAACTAATTTTTATATTCTACAATAACCACTATATGAATATTTCTGTCATGCGAAGCGGTTAATTTGTCAACGTGGTTGCGTCATTTTTTTTTTACAACAGTTAAGTTAATCTCTATTTAAAAGGAACTAATTTAATCCATTTTCATTAACTAAGGTAATAGGTTTTGGCAAAAAGCCATGGCATAAATATTCATGTCAACAACTGGTTGTGTTGCTAGTTTCTGATTAAAATATTACTTTTAATCAGGATAGTAACACGAAATATGTTTGTTTAGCAACGTCACATGAATTTCTGGTATGTCTTCTAGCAGCAATAGGTTGAACAGTAAATATATCACTGAACATTATTCAGCTGGATCTTATTCGTTGAGGTGATTAACACATCGGTTAACTATTTTTGTTACAACTTAATAATACAGAATAACGTTTGAATAAATCATTTTTCTGCCTAAAACGAATTTATACTTTTCACTATATCGAATCCGATGAATGCTTACCGACATTTACAGGACCGACAATTTAAAAAAAAGAATTTTTCTAGATTTGAAATCAAATCAATATCATTTAATGTTTTCAATGAGGCTACGACTTTAGTCTTCGTTGATAAGTGACTAACTGGAATAACTTCTGTAGTACAAATCATCTAGCAGAATGGATAAATAAATGTTATAAGTCTTCTATAAATTCCATATCATTTGTGTTGTTCAGTAAAATAATGGAATAAATTCCAGACGTTTTTTCTTTCTCTTGGGAAGTATAAAAGATTTATCAGAATATTAATTAATGGACTACAACATAAGCTAGACTTGGTATTTCCATTGCCTATAACTTATGATATAATGGCATTTTATTAGTTTTAAACTCAAGTTATTGTTGAACAAAGAATGACACTAGTTAAAGAAGGGGTTCAAAACTATTTCAGTGGATTTCACAACTTCTAGTTTAATCATCTAAGACATCAGATGATCTATGATCATTGTCAATTCTTTTGTAACATTAACGTTCATAGAAGCAATCTGAATATTCACCGAGATATGATACAAACCTTATATGATAATATATTAGTCCGATGAAGCAAACAATAATATTTTCAACATCGTATTGAATCTAATTCATTCTAAAATCGGATGTATATAGTTATATCTATTGTACATGTTCATGTTGTCTGGGACGTACTTTTTATACATATATATGGATGTATATATATATATCATACCTGATATGAGTTCCATAGTGTCTTAAGGGTAGAAATGATTGAAGTAGAAGGAAAAATCAATGCCCTTGTTCTATTCAGGCAGTCACTTTTTCCATTTAAAGTATCTGAAATGAATAATTTATAAAATCCCATACCTTTCACGAAAAGTGAAATTTATTAATTCTATCCATGATGATATTCTAGATGCAAAGTATTCAGAAAGAGTCCCATATAAGAATGAAGTATCTGTTCAGCGTACCATGATTTAAGTAGTTTGTTTATTACATTAGATTAAATCGTTCCATAAATCAACTTTATAATGGTCAGGTTATGAATATAATCATATTTTTCCAAGTTGAAACTTAGGTCGTTAGTTTGTCATACATTTCAACAATAAAGTGATTTACAGATATCTTATCCATTCTAAAGTTGAACTAAATTCTTATTTCACTGAACCTTCTTGGATGAATAAATTGTACCGTTTGTAATAATAATCGAAGCTATCTCTAAATAGTTCAATGAGTGATTCTATCTTTGGAAGGAGTTAGGAATTAAGAAAAAATTGGCAGGAATGGTAAATTAAAGCTGAATAAAATAGAAACTCCTAGAGAAAGAAAATATGAAGCACAGAAAAATGATACCTCTAATAATCAATGTTACTCATTGATTCTTTTAGGTAGACATAGAAACATTTGTACAAATATATTAATATATCTAAGGTGTAATTTAAAGACAACCGTTTCAGTGGATGAAGAGTTGGTATAGTGATTTTCAACTTATAGGTTCAAACCTATCTCTATCTTATTTACTTCCGGTTGCTGGGTACTATTACCCAAACTATATGACATAAAGCTGAGGATATGAATCTGTTCACTGTACGTAGGCTACATTATTGTTTTATTAGCTATTGAAAAGAAAGAAGATTATTGCGACCGTTTATTACTCTTAACAAAATACTACTCTATTATACTATGCTTATATTGGTCAGCTGATGCATTCTATCCACATTATTACATCCTATTCACCATTATTCTAGCAGATTTTAATAGAATTGCTTCACATTATAAAAATTTAGTATATTGATGTATATGATTACTACCTTGGTTTCTAATTGAATAGTGGCTTGCAAAATATAACTATAATGTGTATCCTATATTATTTTGATTATTTAAAGACTTCGTTCTCTACATGGATGTCCAGAACTTCAATTGGATGAGGACTTAATGATTTCAGCACAAAAATGGGCTGAAAATTTAGCCGCTGCCGAAAAATTATATCATAGTAATTATAATGATTATGGGGAAAATTTGGCATTCAAAATGTCTGCACCACCATGTCAAATAACAGGTAATAATAGTTTGTTATGTGTGAAGATTGTTGTTCCTTAATTAACATGAAATTTTATTAATTTAGAAATCCTTGAGAAAGATGTATACTGGAGATTGAGTATTGAGTTTTTACTTAAGTATTACACTAGAAACTGAAAGGTATATAATGAGATGAATAGCGGTGAAATTCATGCAAACTATGTGATACCTAATAGAATCATGGATCGTAGATTGGAATGTTGATTTGATGGTTATTTTGTTTTGTGAACTATTGATCCTAGTTATGGAATTTTAAACTTCTGTGTGTTCCAGATCTCCAGTTATCAAAGTGTGTATAATACCTCCAGTCTTCCGGTTCGATTTACAGTTGCCTACATATACCACTTTAACTGATTTTTAATCAAGTGCGTCAGTTGACGTCATTAGTGATCATTGCTTCAGTCTGGATAATACTAAATCCCATCATCTGATATTTATCTTTAATGAAATCTTGAATTAAACTAAATTTTACAAATCAGTTATTTAAAGAATAAATGAGATGTATATAACAGTGGAATACAGAATGTGTATCTCCCCCTGTTTGTGACTTGTCAGCTGCATGTACTTGGATTCCACAGTTAATATCCACTACGAAGTTCTAACCCAACGCCTTTTGCCTTGAATATTAAACCAGTACTACTTAGCTATTGAGTCCAGGTAATCGTCCTCTAGTACAACGGTTATGAATTTTAATCCTACTGTTCAAATTATGACTACAATTAGATCCGTTTTAGTTAAAATATGTATAATTACTAACTTCTTGTGCTTTTAATGCAATTTAGACTATAATGACTTCTAAGGAGCGTTACCTTCCATTCTACATCTACATTCCCCCCCACACCATTCTGTTATTTCCATGAGTTAGTGATTTATTTATTGTGATTTAGTCACTAATTAGCATGAACAAATGTAACTTGATGGTGTATATAAGGATTTCTATATTTCTGTTGTTGGTATTAAAGACCGGAATTAATCAGATTCCCTTCATACATGTGCATTGTGAGGAGATTGAGTTGTTGACAATTTTTCGGTGACATATTTTTTTTCATACATTCTGCTTTTGAATAGCAATGAAATCCACGGTGCTCATTTATTTCTATCTGGAACTTCCCAGATGGGTGTCCTCACCATGACTGAAACCCAGTATTTGTCCGTTGAAACATTAAAATGTCATCTTAAGAGCTATTGAATCCCAATAATTATTAAATTTTTAGTTTATGTATCATATGTATAAACTGTAGTCGTTATAAAATACATCAAATTAAGGACAATAGATTCATAGTTAGTTTCTATTTATCATTTATTCATATTTCGCAACAAACAGTAGTATAATCTCAGATTCGAGACTTTTCTAAAGTAAACACTTATGACGGAAACTACTCCATGACATCAAGTTCTCTCAGTGAACATCTCACTATTTAGTTCGTTAATAACAATACCAAAGTTGAACTTGATAATTACAAATAAATTGAGTATTGAATAAAAAGTCTTTTCTTTACTTTGAAGAGGTGGCTTACATTAAGTCACAAAACGTCGGAAATACAATTTTCTATTCATTGAAATATCACACAGAGTATCTCCACCATTACTCAATTTTTTTAATTTTAATGGAATATGGTTCCTTAAACTCTTTCAAATTAGTTTTTTCATCAATCATTATGAGACTAAACTGATAATGAAATCAATGTTTAACGGTTAATCATGCTATCCTGTTATTTAATGACCAATGGTCACATTCTTAGATTTGATGACAGAGTTTTAAATACAGTCTTAATTTGATAGAAACTGTTTAATGTAAGAAAAAATCGGCCTAAAAATTAAAAAAAAACACATTCATTTGGTATTGTTTACTTGAATCTTCCCATTGATATCTAAGAATGTAATTGATCAGTTGTTTTATGGGCTTATGTGCAAACTAGGTGTATTGCTTTTATGTTGTCTTAATTCACAAACATTACGAGTAAAGGTGGATAGTGTCTAGCAGTGGAATCCAGGATGCGCATATCTTCCCATCTGGGACTCTTCAATTGCATGTACTAACATCTGAGTAGATGTCCACTCCATAACTCGAACCCAGTACCTTTCACTTCATCTTTGCTCCAACTTTGTTTATAATATTTGTGCATTAAGACAATATCGAGGCAATGCGTACAGTACACACATAAGACCATAAGAGAATGATTAGTTGTATTCTTAAATATCAATGGGAAGATTCAAACAAATAATACCAAGATAATTTAAACTTCACCTCATTGCACAAGCAAATGGCTATCAGGAATCAGTAGCGTAGTAGATAACACAATGGCGTTTGAAGCAAACAGTACTAGATTCGAAGACACCCAGAGTGAACATGAACTGTCAAATGCAAATACATCTAGCTGAAGATTCTCAAATAGGATGAAACGCGCATCCCTAGATTCCACTATTAACCATTATCCCTTCTTTGCTTATAATAATACATTGTAGATTAAATTAGTATTAATTTTTTTATTGGTCAATATTGAGAACAGTATACACTTTTAAGAAATAGTTTTACTCATCTGATGTTGACCTAATTGATCATTCAAATGATGAATGAATATTTTATATTTTAAATAAATATGAATGACAGTAATGTAATATTAACTAGAATTTAATTAATAATGAATGTAATATGAATTGTCATATATTTTAATGTTATTTCTTGTAATTATTGATACATTATTTGTTATATACACGATTATCATTATGTACTGTGGATTGTCCTATTGAAATGTAAGATCGAAGTAGATCAAGTTGGTTTGAATGCTTCTGTTTGACTTGATCCAATACTAGTGTAGTGAACGAGAACACCAGTGGAAACAGAATCACTTGGTTAAGTCTAAGAACTACACATTGAACACTTCATTTGCAAAATGTCAATCAATCACTTCAGACTTGATTGTTCCTTCGTTTCCAAATTAATCCTTGTATGTTCTTGTTCTCTTTCCTTCAATCTTCTTAACCTTTTGCCACCAGGCATTTCACTTTCGATCGGTGATACATACTATTTATATCTGTTGATATCAGTAGCACACACTACTCTAGTGTCAATTATCAGATGTGTTATAGATACTTTTGAAATGATTGCATTTAAAAAACTACTACATGTTAAACATATAAAATAAGAAGTTCCGACCACAACTAATGAATTGTTAGGAAATTAATGGTACTGAATAAAAGTCACATTTTGTTTCTAGACCAGTGAACTTAAAAAAAGCGATAGGGATCTGACAATTGAATTTCAGGTATATCAGTAGGTATGTTACCTAAGTGATTATGACAATCCAAAAGAAATTCTGGATCTAGATTTTTTAACCAATCACCGCTTATCCTATGAAAACAGCTGACTGACAAATATCAAAGAAAGTGAAAACTAAGTCTAATCGTCTCTTATAATTTGATAATAATAGCTTATATTAAATATTATGCCTTCGCTAACTAATAATCTACCTAATAAAGACCAATCCATGATTGAAACGTACGTTAGCCAAATAGTGAGATGTGAAGATTGTTTGAAGGTTTGGGTTTTTCGACACAACTTTGGCATCAACATCAACAATTTAGTGCAGATGTGTTCAACTACCATCCATCTTTTACTATTGTCCAATAGACCGGAAGTAAAAGTATAATCGTATTTTTTTTAAAACTAAATATGTAGATCATTTAGTAACCTACTGAATACTATTGTCATATGTTTCTCACTATGATTTTTTAGGTGAAGAAGTTTCACAGACATGGTATAGTGAAATTGATTATCATGACTTTACTCAATCTTATCATCCAAATTCACGTGAGTTGCCATAATCATAATTTTTTTAATTTATTGAAAAAGCCAATAAATATTATTCTGTGTTATTTCTCTAACTGATTTAATTAATTTTATAGAGTTGAGATCATGAGTCAATTGAAGCTAGACCACCATAGAAAACCTGGAAGTACTGGATGGCCATTTCGTCCTATTATGGGACTCCTCAGTGGCAGTGCGCATCCACGGTTCCACACTCGCGAGATTAGAACCCAAGACCTACCAGAGCACTTAACCGATAGACCACTGGGCCGGTATCCAACGGTGTTAATGTTTAACTTCAACCGATCAACGAAATTGAGCAACCATTCACCAATGTCACCAATTTTAATTAATACTGAGTGATCATGCTAAGCGTGTTCGTGTTTTTCGGGAAATATTAACTAGAAAATGAAAGCATCAAAATTCAATATTCTTTTACATAGTACTTTTGGGATTGAATGTAGAACTGCTTCTTGAATCTTCAAACCTAATATCGTGGTATCCATCTAAAAAAGAAAGACAATTTACAATGAGTGGTGAATATTTTGTACAAACAAGGTGGTCTGAACATGGAACTTTGTTCTATAAAATGAATGGTCCTATGTGCTGGAAATGTTAAAAATCTTAATTAAACCATCTTGATTGAGTGTAAAACAATTTCATCCTTTCAAGATTCCCACCACTCAGCTAACTCATATATAATAGTTGTTTGTATGTTTATTTGGTTTTTCGGCCTGCAATCAACAAGTCTCTGTATATCGTAGGCGGATTTCCTCGATATTACCATTGGTTAGCAGTAGAATCTAGAACACAAGCTTCGTTCTATTTGGGACTCGTCAACTGGATTTATCCCTATGTCAGAGTTGGTGTCCATTCTGGAACTCCAGCCCTGTACCGTTCGATCCAGGTACATACAACTGACAAGTCCTAAATAGGCCTCAACGCGCGTCTTCGATTCCATTGTCAGCCGCCATCCATCTATATTACTCCTTTAGTTTCGAGATAAACATTTGAAATAATAACTATTTCACCTTCAAAAGAATATAGGTCATTTTTGATAGTTTTATGCTCAAAAACAGTTCGAATTACTATAAGATTACGTTTCTTTTTTGTTCAACGGGTACATATTAAGCTCTACTTTAAATAAAACAACAAATTGCACCAAATGTTTGAAACAGAGAAGACAATATTTGAATGTGTTGAAATAATTCGATTGTCTGGACTAGACAAATAAAGTTGATTACTACCCAATGCTTAAATTAAACAGATTTCCTAAATTTAACCTGACGTTCAGCTTACTCAGTAGTGTATATCTGTTTGACTGTCATTGACTGTAATAGTTTCAAGTAATGAGGTGTAACGAAAGTACAACTGATCAAGTATTTCAAGTGTTTTTTTAATGCATTTAATACATCAGGTTGGTGCAACAAACTGTTATATCTCGAAATTAGATTCTTAGTATGTCGCGTATTACTTGATTACTCGAACGCTAGAACCCTGCCAAGTTTCAAAATGCGAAGACAGAAGACTAGTAAGTAGGAATGTTAATTCACAAAACAGTGTCAAATATAGTACCAAAAATCTCATATAAAGTTTTTGGATGACAGTAAATCATCGTTTCGGATTGCCATTAGACACATAGGGGGTCCTCCTTATTCAAGCAATAGGAGAGCTACATGTCGACATTCTAGAATATTCCCCTAGCGGTGATTGGATGGAATGTCTTCGGCTCTTTCTGGGCTTCTCAAGGCTTAATTGAGTTTGCCAACGAGCCATCCTAACACAAATGAAATCAAGAAAAGTATAAAACTTTGATCTTTCACGTAACTTTTGTGATAAGACTCTACCTTTATCTTAAATATACTTAAGCAGATGAAGGATATATTTTAATTAAGAAAGGTTATCGTCGTACTAAATTGGATTTCATATTGATCTTTTACTACCAGACATTATACGATCATAACTCTAATCATATATTTATTATGAATTGCTAAAAGGTCTAGCATTTTATATAGGGTTCGGATAACTGTTTACTCATTATAAATAACATATGATGTTGAAATTGGTAAGAGGTAGGACTTGTCGGAGTGTCGACAATTCATTACAGTGGCTTTTTTTGTGTATCCGAAAATAAAAAGGAATTTATTTTGAATAGTTCATGTCAAAACTCAACTGATTGGCAAATTAAATCTCATCTCCGTTTTTTTGATATTTTAGGTCATTTTACTCAGATGATTTGGAAATCCACAACACGAGCTGGATTTGGATTGGCTTTTAGTCAAGATCAAACGAAAGCATATGTTGTTGGACGTTATTTGCCTGTAGGTAACAAAGGAGATTTCGGATGGAATGTACCACATTATCAAGGAATTAAAAGATCTGGTAAGTTGTATATTCTTAATTATTTTACCTATAACTTTAAATAAACTGTGAAAGTAATGAAGATAATAGAATTAATTGAAATGTTTTACGAGTTTTCGTTTTCATTCAAAAGCTTTTATCATCTAACATTAAATAGGAATAATATAAAATCTCAGCAATGAATTTGAAGTAAATCCAACGTTTCACCTGGCAATCTAGTCCAAGCTTTTTTAAGGAAATATAATCAAACATCAAAGTTATCGAATATAAATAGGTACATGAATCTTCGTTTCATTGTAGACTGAATATGTCATCCAATCAGTGTTTGACTCAAATTTTCTCATTTTCAATGTAAACAGGAAACATATTCCATTTAGAATAGATTCTATGTAAATATTTCAATCCATCAACTTCAGTATTGGTGCTATTAACTACCACATCTCCATTAATAGAATTATTATTCAGATTTTCTTCATCATTAGCAGCGAATAATATTGCCCATGACAGAACATGATTTTGAGATTGTATATTATTCATATTGATATAATTTTGCCGTTGAGAAATAAAAGTAGTTTTATTATTTGACTGAACTACTGACTATCAGTGTTTGATTTCCTAATAATATGACTGATAGCTCTGTATGATGAATATCCAGCGGCTTTCTTATTTAGACTCGCTATATTATTACTGTTTATATTAGGAACACGGGTTGGGACAGTCGGATGTATATAAGCATAAAACTACAAACCAGATAACTAAATTCTGATAACCATATAACAAACAGTTTATTTGCAAAATAAGAATCAATTGTCTCAATCTTAACTGTTCCTTCTGCAAATATCAGTCCATCTTCTCTGATTTCATTGTTTGTACCGATTGCGCTTCATTCCTGGTCGTTCCTTATCGATCTTCTTCTAAAATACTTTCTATATCTGACCATCGTCATATACTACTTATATGGATATAAGTAGACCACAATATCATTTGAATACTAATAATAATTAAAAGTAAGAAACTATTAAATAATTATAAAAGGCAATACAGAGATCAGATTTGTTTTTATGATGTTTCAGTGTATTTTATTACATTCGTTTACAAGTTTAGAAAGCATAGATGGATGATATTTTTTTTCTTTGTTAGTAACTAACCTAGTGAAAGTATGTACTCTAAAGATCTTTGAATGACTTGATTGTATTTATAATACAACATTGAAGTGTAGTATTGTGGTGTGGGTTACTGATATTCACATAATTAGTATATAGTGATGGTTAGGCACTGAATGTATTTCGGTAGAAGATCGATAAGGAGAGAAAGGGAACGTCACGCAATCGGTACGAAAATGCATGAACAATTATAATCGGAGACTATGGACGAATATTATCAGAAGAAACAGTCAAATTGAGACAATTGATTGTTATTTTGGAAATTAACTGTTCACTATATGGTTCTCATATTTTAATAAGATATTCTGTAATGTTGTGCTCAAATACATTCGATTGTCCCCACTCGTGTTCTTGTTCACTACAGTATTATTTCATACCTAACAATGCAGTGTGAATATGAACTACGATATTATGTAAATCAAAGAGAAAGAATGCCTTTATACTTAAGCACCTATTTATATTCAATAATTTTGATGTTTGATTATAATTCCTTGAGAAAGCCAGGGACCAGATTGCCAGGCGAAACGTTGGATTTACTTCGAATTCATTGTTTAGATTTTTTCAAATACATTATTCCTCTTTATGTTTCATATCAATTCGGTACCGTAATTCGGTAAAACTAATCGATCAACATTAGACGAAAGTTCTTATATAATATTGTAGTGAATGAGAACACAGGTGAGGACAACCAGCTATATATTTAGCACAAATTACAACATTGCTTGATAAAATACAACAACCATACTCTGATACTCTATTTACAAAATGTTCTTTAATTGTCTCAGGCTTCATTCTTCATGGATTTCTACACCAATTGCTTTCTATTTCTATTCTTCTTTTGAACTTCTCAATCTTCTACTGTCAGATATTCTATTCCTGACTCACGATATATACTAGTTATGTCGTCATATATAGACCACACTACAATATAACCTAAATGTTTCATAAATCTTTCTTTATACTTGTAACCTATTTTGTTTCTGAGCAACTTATTGTTGCAAAAAATTACATATGAGACATACCTTTTCTCCAATCTATTCAAAGGGTATGAAGTTTTATTTCATAGCATTTGATCTTTTGTAATAATTCATTGTGGAATAATGAATTAATTTATGAGACTAATTGTGTAACATACTTCAGATTCACTTAATTTAAGCACCTAGTCAATATTTCAATGAAAGTTAAGAGTTATTTTGAAGTTAGCTCAACAGTCTAGAGTGTATTGATGAACTTGTATAAAAGATACTTCATTAGAGGTAATTAGATTTCATAGTGAGCATCCACGATCTAAACACTGTCAAAGAGTCTCAAACCTTGACAGAACGGTCATTTAGGGTTTTCAAATGTTCAATGATGATCTATCTGAGATTAGTTCGTGACCTAAATTTATTTGCTCTTTTTCAAGTATATTTAAGTGGTAGCTAGTAGTAAAATCTAGGATGCACACTTCGTCATTATCAGTACATTCGCATCTGAATCGAAAGGCATTACGTTCTAATTCCAGAGTGAACATCAACCTTAAATTACAGCCACATCATGTTCATCTGTTGCTATTCACTATTCAACTTCACTTTTTAAATGTTTTACATCTGATAGCATTGTTAAGATCATCCGCACAACATATAGATAATTGAAAAGCTACTGATCAATTATAACTTTTAACCTGAAAAACATCAAAAGTCAACTATTTATAACTGAATTATATTTGTTCTTCGCTTATATATTGTTTATTTCCCCTTTGTTCTTTTTCTTTTTTTTGGTACATGGTTTGTTTTCATAGGTGACAATGAAAGTAAATATCTCGTTTTAAATGAAATTGTTTATATTTATATATAAGTAAATAATTGAATGTAACGGTCATTATCTAAATCGGAAAGTGTTGTGTTACGTAACCTAGAATAACATATAAGTGAAAATGTTACCAAAAGAGCATATCAGAAAAGGTTTTTGTGAATATAATAGTAATTTTAATAGTTGTGGTCATGAATCAATTGAAGGACCAATTGGTTCAAATCTCGCTAGGCGTCATCGTGGATGCGCACTGCAGAACAGTACCAGAATAGAACGAAACAGCCACCCATCGCTTCCAGATTTTCCATGATAGTCTAGCTTCAATTGACTCATGATCTCAACTATTAAAAAGCATATGTTTATTTTGTACGGAAATAATATTTTTTCATTGTTTTCTAATAGATTAATATGAAATAAGTTTGTGGTGTTTAACACTTACCAGTTGTTGTGTATAATGTTTACATAATATAGTTATAAATCCTCAGAAAAAGAATTTTAGAAGTGTTATGTTCTTTGGACTGGACAGTATAGTTATGAAGTTATTATCTTCACTTTAGTCAATCACATAATTCGTTTAAGGTGTGTGTTGATGATTTTTGTCTAGAACAGTAATAAAAGCTTCACAACTAAACCATCTAGATCAGAGGACAAAATGTTTCTAGAAAATGGCTGACTAAGCAACAGAATAATGATTGGTAGATTGACCGAAAGTTTGGATAGTATTTTTGGAATATGATATTTAGAAATAAACATTCTATTGAAAAAAGCAATGAAAATGGTATCCAATTTATAACTTTCCCAAATGTAAAATTAAATCAAAACACAATACGCACTTGTAATACTGATCATTGATAATAGTAAATTCACATTCAGTGAATTCATGAGTCGATGTAAGCTAGATCACCATTGAGAACCTGAAAGCGCTGAACAGCTGTCTTATCCTAGTATGGTACTCCTGAGCTGTGCGTATCCACAATCCCCGATTCAAGACTCGAAACCAAAACGTTCTGTCTCGCGCGAGGACGACCAACCTTTAAACCACTGGTTCGGTATCCTAACGGTGTTAATGTCTAACGTCAATTGACCCATGATCATGCGCTGCAATTCATCTATTGTCTGAGGTAAATACCTATTTCTATCCAACACAGATTGTAGGAATCCCATACTAGGACTAAACGGTCATCTAGTACTTCTAGTTTTTCAACGTTAGTCTACCTAACATCGACTAATGAATTAAACTATTACAATTATTACAATCTTCACAATCCTCCATTCTAAGATTAATATTCCAGTTCAACATACAATAGTTGTTGTTTTAAAATTGCACTTTGAATAATTCACAATATAAGGTTTATGGGTGGTTTGAATTAAATTAACACATTTACTTTACAACGGTTGACTTCTTTTTTGGTAAATAATGTATGACTAATTGTGAAATATCTATTTTACAGGCCGATGTACTGGTAAGTGTTCATTTTTACACCTAATACGTATAACATATACATATATATATGAGGTAACTGCTGTGTAAATCATAACCTGAATCCGATTGTCTTTTGTTAATTCAATTATGTAAATAATTATGGTTATTATTAATGACAGAGTAGTTCATCATTATATCAAAATGCTTGAAAGGATTCTAATGATACTAAATACATGATTGTTTCCATGGTGATGAGTTGTTTTAAGTCAACTTACAAAGAAAAAGTACGGAATACCATTGAAGTTATCTATGCATCCTTCCAGTGTTTTATTTTTTCTTTAAACTGAAATATACTACTCTTTTTTTAGAAAATATAAATAAAAGTTGTTTTTTTTATAACACACATGGATAATTTCGGTTATTATAAAATCGGATGATTTTTCAAAGAAAAAAAAGGTAACCGACTTTATTTAAGTGATAAACAATATTTACCATTTAAATTATGAATCATAAAACAAACTTTTGATGAAAATTTTTTAAAAAATACTTCGCATTCACAAAAAAAGAAGTTGGATTATTTTGATTCCGATTATTTATTTGTTCTGAAGAAGCAGTTTAAACTAAGTTACGAAACCGAAATGGAT